TAGCTCAACACGACACACCCTTCATGTGCTGCGCTCATACTCGCTGCAACAACCGGTCGAAATCGTCCGGGAAGATATCGATCGATTCTACCTTCGTGCGCATGGAAGCGTGCACCCTATGCGCTCGGCGAAGATCGCCCGTGAAGTTGCCTACGTGCGTGATGGCGATTATCGAGAACTGAGACGGTATCGAGACGCATGCTTCCAGCCTCCCTCGCGAGAACTCCTTCCACTCCTCGAACGTCGCACGCTCGTCCCACCCTCTCTCCTCCCAAAAGCTGCGGTCGTAGGCCAGGCTCGCTTCGGGCATCACGTTGAGGTCCCCGAACACGTCCGCAGACGCCCACGTGAACAGCTCTCGGGAGCGGACGTCGAAGCAGAGGATGGACGTCGACCCCACGCACCGTGCGGTGTAGGTCCGAAGGCTCTTGACGCGAGCCATCACCGCGTGCGCCGGCACGTAGTCGTCGTCGTCCATGTGGAAAAACACGTCGCCTCGTGCGTGCTGGCACGCCAGCTGCCTCTTCGCTCCTATGGAGAGCGGCTTGCCGTCGAACGTGGTCGCCTTCACGAAGCACACGCGCGGATCTTTTCGTAGTGCGCCGAGAGATGGGCGCGCGTCCATCCCCTCATCGGAATCATCAACCACCACCCATTGCAATCTGTCCGCCGGGTATTCGAGTTTCAGAAAGTTGTTGACGGCCAGCGCGAAGCGGCGCCTCCGGTTCCTGGTGATCGTCAGCACGGACACTCGGGGCATCTCGTCCAGCTCGGATAGGGCGAGGGTCAGACCGTCGTTCTTGGTCCGCGCCGCACGGATGCTCCGCCGCTCGTGATTGATCGGGTACTCGGGGAGTGTGTACGATTGCACTTTACGGTAGTCGGTCTGCTGGCGCTCCACGTCCGAGTAGCACGGAACTTGCAAGGCCACCGGATCCCTCAGCAAGTAGACGTTCTTTCCCTCGCTCAAGCGGCGAAAAACGACGTCCACGGGTTCGACCCGTTCCGACGCGAGGTTCGACTCCAGCGCACCGATAAATTCGTCCAGACAGCGTCCCCACATAACGTAGCAGTGTGTGGAGAGGACCGTAGCCGGTAGCCACGCCCGTCTCTCACGCGCCAGAGCCGAAGGTGGGCCCAACGGCGCTTCGGTGGAGACGACGCAGTGGGTGACTTCCATCAAGCGCTCCAGTATGGCCACCAGCGAGTCCGCCCCTACGATGCCCTCTCCCGCGAGACATGCCCCGACTCGGGCTCTGCCGTAGGTGGCCACGGAGAGTCGCAGCGCACGGCCTCCCTCTGCGGTGTCCACGTAAGCATTGGCCACGGACGACTCGACCTCGCAGAACGCCTTCCGCACTCTCGCGCTCGAGTCCTGGTGCTCGTCCATCCCAGGCAGCAGTACGACAACCTCTGCCGTCGAGTCGGAGATTTCTTGGTCCAGCGCCTCAAAGGATCTCGAACCCACCACCAGGATCGCGACCGCGGTGATATCCGTGAGGACAGCAGGGGCATCCATCACGACCCTCGACAGGGTTCCCCCGGGGTAACACACGTCCCACGGGAGCGTCCTGGGCCCTCCCCACCACGGCCGGGGGTCCGCGATGAAGTCCACATCGTTCTCGACGACCACGACCGATTCGTAGCGGCGCTCGCGGGCAAGGCGGAGCACATGGAGGTGAGACGAGCAACAGCCGCGGACCAGATCTTCCCGGTCTTTCGAGAAGCTCACCACCTCGATGGACAGGCCGTATCTCTCGGCCTGCGCGTCCACATTGGCCCTCCGATCGGGCCTGTCGTCCGTATGAACGCACAAGATAGGCGTCATAAGGATCTCCCTTGCGGTCCAACGGGCATAATCCACGCCCCCAGAACGCGGCCCCACTCCTTCACACCCTATTTCGCGGCCCTTGACAGGAATGGCGCCCGGGAACCTCATCCTCCGCCTACTCGTCGTCTTCTTGATCCAGATGCAGTGGGTCGTACGGGCCGTCCGGACGCGTTTGCGGAAGGAACGACGCGAACGACTGGCCCACATCGAGAGCAGCTTCTATTGGGAT